GCCCTATAGAAAAAACCCCCCCAAAAAAAAAAAAAGAGCAAGTTTGCAGACGAGTGCTTCGGGCAGCTGCGTATAGGTTTGGCGTGTACCCCGGGTGTGTGGATGCACCTAAAATACAAATACACTAGAACGCTCTGCTGGGAACTGAACATCTGTGTTCCCGAAGTCACGTGCTGGAGCCCACCTGGCGTGGGGTTAACAGCAGGTGAGCCTCTGGGGGGTGCGAGGCCAGGTGGGGCCTCGTGGGCTCGCTGCCCTTGGGAGAGGAAACCGACAGTTCACAGCGACCCATCCCCGCAGCACTCCCGCTCCTCCCCTGCTCCGTGTCTCCTGCACCTCTGTCACGAGCCAGGCTACACCTCTGCAGTTACACAGGGAAGCGCTTCCCTAACGTCCGAGACACCAGCAGGCAGCCGTGTCTGAGGGGCTCGGTGACTTCTCCGTAGGACGATGTGTCCCCCGTTCCTCCGCCAGCCCCCGTCCGCCTCTGCTCAGCTCACAGGAGGTGAGGCCGATGCACGTGTTCCTAAGGCTCCGCTATGTGGATTTCCTGGCCCACAGCGCATGACTCCCACCCCAAACACACCGCACCCGTTAATTCACACGGCTGCACAGGCCACGCATACCGACCTCTGCATTCCAGAGGCCGATTAACGATACCTTTATGAGATTTTCTGCAGGAGCAAAAAAGTCATCTGTTGCAAATAAAATCTAGGCAAAGAAAGAAAGGAGTAAAGATAAAATAACTGTAAATGAAAACCGTTTTCTTTCATGCCCAGTGAACATCGCGAGGGCAGTAAAGAGGAAATGCGCCATCGCCGGGGAGATGCGGAGAGACGCAGGCGGGCACCGGGCTCTCTCAGCGCCGCGCCCACCGCCCTCCAGGGCTCCCCCGGCCCTCTACCATCTGGACGCACGTGCTGCTTCCCACACTCGGGGCGAGTAGCCAATTCTCTTCTCTATTGCTTTTCCTTTTCCCATAGGGCACATGCGTTCACCGGAGAGAGAGTGCGGGAGTGGGAAAGCGAGAAATCGCCCCCCGGGGGATGGCCACACCGCAAGCCCTTCTCCACCATTCTCCTCCTGGGATTTGGGCATGCATGCACACGGGCATAGCACGATTTTCAAGTCACCAGATCCATCACTCAAACCACGTGAGAGTCCAGCTCCTTAGCCACTATGCCAGTAGTAGTGGTTCGTTTTAAGAACCAAAGACCTGGGGACCAGCAGTTAGCGTAATGGCTACGTCGCTAGGTTCCCACATAGTCGACCGCGGTTCGAGTCCCAGGCCCAGTGGCTTAAACTCACGCAGGGCACGTGTGCGTGCGTGCCCAAGATCCCGAGAGGAGAATGGAGGAGAAGGAATTGCGGCATGGCCATCCCCCCTGGGGGGTGATTTCTTGCTTTCTGTCTCTCTGTCTCTGTCTGTCTGGTGAGCGCACACGCCCTATAGCAAAAACTTCTCCAAAAAAGAAAAAGAAAAGAATCAAAGACCTTGGGCTTTTCACAGACAGACCAAACATAAGCAAATACACATGCATGCACTCACAAATGAAGCGAAATAAAAAGTGTGCTGGTTCACACTGGCTTGGCTGGCTCCGGGTCCGCCCTCCCAGTGGCCTGCGGAGTCACCCCGCAAGAAGACCACCCTGGTCACCACCGTATACCACAAAGCAGGACATACGAGAGGGCGAGGCGAGGTCCACAAACTGCACCAGAGACAGGCGCAGCCAGTCCTTCAGGGGCCACCCTACCTAGGCCCCCTACCAGTGCCCGAAGCAGCCTAGAGGGAGCACTGCCTGGCCCCTGCCTTCAGCCGGGACCCAAAAACACGAGCCCACCCTGCTGCTTGGAGCAGCCGGTGGAGGGCAGGGGAGTTTCTGCCATGCTGGGTTGACCTGGCCCTGGGAAATGGACAGGGTCGTTGGCAGGTGAGTGGACATATCTGTGTCCCCCCGCCTGCATCCTTCCATGGCTCCTAGCAGAAACCCTCACGGGGTACACCTGGCCTCTCCGACCACTCTGGGCCCAGCCTCCCCAAATACCCACAAAAATCCATTGTGTTCCAGAATCATGGGACCACCTGGGGCTCTTCAGCCTCCTGTTCACATTGACACCACATCACAGAACCCGCCCTCTGGGGGCAGGCCAGAACCCGCCCTCTGGGGGAAGGGCCAGAGTCTTTCCTCTGGAGGATGGGCTAGAACCTTCCTTCTCTTTTTTTTTTTTTCTCTCTCTCTTTTTATTTTTAATTTTTTTTTTGAGAAGTTTTTGCTATAGAGCACATGCACTCTCCAGAAAGACAGAGAAAGACAGAGAGACAGTAAGCAAGAAGTCACTCCCCCCAGGGGAGATGGCCATGTCACAATCCTTTCTCCTCCATTCTCCTCTCAGGATCTTGGGCACGCACACACACGCGCCCAGCGTGAGTTTAAGTCACTGGATCTGGTTTAAGCCACCAGGTCCAGGACTTGAACCACAGTCAACTCCATGGGAGTTAAGCGACATAGCCATTACACCAACTGCTGGTCCCTAGAACCCCCTTTCTAAGAGCCAGGCCAGAACCACCCCCTCTAGGATCCTGGGCCAGAACCCGCCCTCTGGGAGACTGGGCCAGAACCCGCCCACAGGGAGACGGGTGCAGGAACGTCACTTGTCTGGACAGTCTCTAGCCCTCCCCACTGCAGCCCCTCCCCGCAGTCCCTGGCAGTCAGGCATCGCCCACCCCTACCCCTGCACCCTGTGGAGGTCACGGCACTGGTCTGACCTTTACAGGAGCCTCCTGGCCGAGTGTGACGTCCTGAGCACACTTCCCTCTGCGCTGTACCAAGCACCCCTGTACCACACACGTTGCCGGGTTTCCCAGGCGACTGCCAGCCCACGCCAGGCCCTGAGAACCACTGGGCTTTCTGACGCACAGAGGGCAGTGGGTCCTTCCCACACACACTGTCCTCTTTGAAAGGCTTATGGGAACGCTGCGCTCGCTCGGAGCCTCCTCCAGTCTAAGCTGGCTGCTCCGGGCCCTGCTGTGAGGGTGGCCTCCTCGGGGCGCCGCCTAGGCTCCTCCTGGCCAGGTCCTGTGAGCCGGAGCATGGACCCCCGGCTTGGGCAGGTCACATGCTCTTCCTCCCTAATGGCCATGCTTACCTTCCCTCCCACGGCCTCAGAAGCCATGTCGACCAGCTGAGTGAAGTCCAGAAAGCGGGCCGGTGTTCCCTCCATTGGAGCGTCTGCCATGCTCCCTAGAGACAGGGGAGGCAGATCTGGTCAGCCCCAGGATGCAGGGGATGACGGGCTGCGAGTGAGGAGGCCCGACCCGGTCCCGAACCAGGGTCTGAGCCTCCGAGGCCAGGCGGTAACAGCCCCTGGCTGGCAGGTGCCCTCCTGCCTGCTGGCACTGAATGAAAGGGTGACCTTCTAGACGTGTGTCCTGCCAGTGTCGAAGGACGAAGTGCCACCAAGCCAAGTCCCACCACCGCGAGGCGCAAAGCGCTGCTCTAGTATTTAAGGGGGGCTCGCTCTTACTTAGGAACGGGCCTTGTTTCGCATAGTCTTGGGCCCATTCCAAACGCTTCCTGAGTGGCCGGTGGCAGAGACGGGGGTACCAGAGCACCCACCTGCCCACAGGCCCATGGTGGGACTCCCGTGTCCACAGACACACCTGCTGGCCACGACCAGAGATGGCACAGAGATGTCCTCACCCAGCAGGGCTCAGAACCAGAGGCGAGCCGGGAGCTGAACCCAACCCCCAGCACCGGGAGAGCAGGGAGAAAGAAGTGGGGGAAGCCCGAGGGAGGGAGTCCAGACCCCCAGGCCTGTCCTCGCCTGAGCCAGCAGGTGGCCACCGCCCGTCCCTCGCCCCGAAGGAAAGAACTGCGTAGAACCGCATCTCCTCGAGGATTATGTCCAGGGCCGGTGGGGGGCTGAGGGCAAGGTGGCTGGACCCCACGTGGCTGACGACGCAGTCTGAGTCCCAGGCTCAGCAGCTTAAGAAACACGCTGGGCGTGTGTGCACGTGTGCCCAAAGTCCTGAGAGGAGAATGGAGGACGGGCCACAGCCTGCCCATCTCCACCCCACGGTTTCCTCTCTCTCTCTCTGTCTCTCTCTGTCTCTCTCTCTCTTTCTCTCTCTCTCTCACCAGCAAGCACACTCGCCCTGTAACAATAATTAAAAAAAAAAAAAAAAAAAAAGAAAAAAAAAAGAGGAAGAATAATAATTATCTTTTTACCCAAAAAAAGCAGTCAGTGGAATGAGAAGTCGCCTCTGGAAACCACAAAAACTCCCTGACTTTTACTTACCGACAGCCACTCCCCGTCGTCAGCAGGGGCTCGGCGACCACTGTGGGGTGCAAAGGTGGCTCCCGGCCCCCCCCAGTGTCGGGGCAGCAACAAGGGCGTCCCCTTCCTCCCACAGCCTGTCCGCACGCTCACACGTGGCGGCACGCGGAGGGCCTGTACTGGTTCGTGCCCTGACCTCACACCCATAGAGCTCACCTCGAAGCTGACCCACACCGACCTCTCTGCCGCTGGCCAGGAATCCCAGAGCTCAGTCCTGAACACAGCAGGAGAAAGCACGTAGCCCCA